AATTCCAGCTAGGGTCCCAAACCTTTCAAATTTTTACAGACTATACTTAAACCTTTCATTTTTTAAGATGAGGTCCCAAACCTTTAACTTCAATTGACCACATCTTGATTAATTTTAAAAAAGGGAAAATTTGTGATTTTACATTTCTCCATTAAAATAATTAAAAAAAGAGAGAATTGAAACGGTTCTTCTTCCACAAACGAGTTCCCCACCCCACACCACATACCACCCAACCAAACGCCGGTGGAGGGTAAAAGATTAATTTCCGGCAAAATTCCTCAACTTTTGATCCCTTCAATTTCGGCATTTCACACACACAGAGACTCAATTGATTCGACTTTTCTCTTCTTCTTCTCTAATCTCTTGAATCGGTCTACACATCTATAGGTACAAATAACAATCATAAATGCATATATATGGGTTCTAAATTGATATTTAAAGGACACAAGACGCCACTAGTGACGGAGGCGTACTCGCTGAAGTCGTTGAAGCCATGGCTGAGTGTGGTTCGTCTAATTCAGTACATGCTCCATAAGCAACGACTTGTATTTGTTTTCGTAGCATTAGGAGTGGGCAAAACCCAAACCAAACCGCCCAAACCGACCGACCCGACCCAAACCGACCGGTTTGGGTCGATTTTTTACATTTTTTGGGCGGGTTTCGGGTTTCTAGGTGGGTAATTGGGTCGGTTTGGGTCGGGTTGTGGGTTAACAACCCAAACAGTTGTCATTGTGAAGAGGCTATAATTAGGAGTGGGCAAAACACAAACCAACCCGCCCAAACCGACCGGTTTGGGTCGGTTTTTTACATTTTTGGGCGGGTTTCGGGTTTCTAGGTGGGTAATTGGGTCGGTTTGGGTCGGGTTGTGGGTTAACAACCCAAACCCGATAGAAACCGACCCAACCCGACCCGAAAAGAAAAAAAAAAGATTTAAAATGAAAACCCTAAAGGCTAAAGGCAAGTCCAGCAGCTACACACCCACGCCCTGCTCTCTCCGTCTCTCTCTCGCTCAAATCACCTTCAAGCGACCCAACCATCTCTCCTCTCCTCTCCGACCATCCCAGCCCTCCCCCACCCACCAACGAACCGAAACCACCGAAGATTTGAACTTTATTTTGAGCACCGCCAATCAGTTACCTGTTGGGACAAGATTCAAAATGAAATTTGATTTAGATGATTCTTCGGAGAGAAGGTTTTATGAAATTCTATCTAGCATCCTATTGTGTTTTTCCAAGTTGATGCATTTTATTTAAATCAAATGTCTTGTGCCTTCTCAGATTCTGTGGAGTGGTGACTGGAGTTTGTGATGTGGATTCCTACAGATGGCCAAACTCGAAATGGAGATGCTTGATGGTACATTCTAACTCTTCTTCTGGAGCTCTTTGTAGACAACAGATTTTAATTCGTCAGTTGCCGCCATGAGGAAGTCCTCTAGGGCGGGTAGTTTGCACTTGAAATTTGGTGTTCGTCTTTCCTGTTGGTTCCTGCTTTCTTTTTGTAGATTTATCTAGTCCTACTTTTAGGTTAATTGTGGGCAGGCTAAGGAACTGAAACATTTGGTTGTCTCCAATACGTAAATTCACACAGCTGGGGAATTTGTTGAGTAGTTAATAGCAAACATCTGGAGTCAATGTCATAATTAGGAGTGGGCAATGAGTTTATTTCAAACCGACCAATCCAACCCAACCCGACCGACACATAATTGGGTTGGGTTGGGTTGGGTTTCAATATTTACATGGGTTGGGTTGGGTTGGATTTCGAACAAACCGACAATGTTGGGTTGGTTTTGGGTTGGGGCAAAAACCG